GCACTGCGCGCAAATTCTCGTGAGAGTATTTATAAGTTCTCTGAGAACCATCTAAGCTTTTAAGTTCATAGCGATCATTTTCAAGTACTTCTACTATAACATATGGGCCTCGAAACTTCCTATCCAATTTCGTTTTATTCCGTTCACAATTTTTAATAAATACAAAGTCTCCTTTAGAGAAAGGTCTTATTGTGGCCCGGCCACGATTAAACCGAAGGGTATCAGATTCAGCAGCTTTGCAAATGTTAGCTGATGCATCAGTTCTTATCGAATCTAAATCTAAGCGAACCTCATGATCTATATTATCGGCGTTCAACTTACACATTCCTAAAGAATTGGAACGAATTCCAAACATTAGTTCTGACGGTGAGTATTTGGTAACGGAAGATTTAGAACTATTGAGAGCAAGTTGGATGTTACCTAATTCGTCACGCCACACTTTGTTAGGGTCGTTTTCAATGATAGTAAGGAGGCTCTTAAGAGTACGCATCACCCGTTCAACCTGGCCGTTTGCTCTACTCGTACCAGTCGCTATGAAATGGAGGTCTATTTTATGCTCTTGACAAAAGCTCTTAAAATCTGAGCTTATGTAGCAACGGCCCTGATCTGCGATGATTCTTTTCGGGGCTCCAAAAAGACACACCGCTTTTTGTACGGCATATATTGCACTCTTGGAATCGACTGACAAAGTATGTTCGAGTAAAACGTATTTAGTAAAGGCATCGATTATCACAGAGCAATACTCTTTTCGGTCACTCTTCCCGCTCAGCTTCCCCGAAAAATCTATGTGAATCGTGTGCCAAGGCACGGATACTTTTGGAATCGAATGAAGCTGAACAGGCTGAGCACCTGATGGACCTTTCGATGCCTTACAAATGATACACGAATCTATAAATTTTCGTACACATTTAGACATATCGGGAAACCAATACTTTTCATACAGCTTGTCTAGAGTTTTGTCCCTGCCTAAATGTTGCATTTCGTTGTGGACATGGTTAATTAGTGTCCAAATTAGAGACCGTGGAACTACGGGTAGCCATGAAACCGCTTTGTTACGAGTAATCTTCCTATAAAGTATACCATCTCTAACGTCATACGTTTGGCCTACTGTTTCGGGAAAGCTATTATTATTATGTTTTGCGATAAGATCCTGAATTTCTGCGTCGCGTTTCTGTTCAACTGACAGCCAGCCTTGATGTAGTTCAACATAATTGACAGTTTTAGGCTTAGGCTTTACTGGAGTGATGGGAACGGCAGAATCTGACAGTGGATTACGGGACAGGTAGTCAGCATGTTCCATTTTACTTCCTTCGCGGTACACAATGTCGAAATCGTAAGCTTGTAAATAAGCCCACCATCGGTAAACGCGGGGTGTTAGGTCTTTCTTTGATTTCGACGCCTTGAGTGAATTGCAGTCGGTAACTACAACAAATCGCCTACCATATAAATAATGGCGAAAATGCTCTACAGCTCTGACGACCGCTAAAGTTTCTAACTCGTATGAATGATAACGAGATTCCGCGTCTGCTGTACGGCGGCTATAATACTCAACAACGTGTGGAAGATTATTTTTCTTTTGCAGAAGGATTGCTCCATATCCTTCTGAGCTAGCATCTGTATGTAGCTCCACCGGAAGTTCTGGGTCGAATATAGTTAGCACCGGTTCGGACGTGAGAATACCTATAATTTTGCGCCTTATTTTTTCATGTTCGGTAGTCCAGGTAATTCGTCCTTTAAGTTTTGTGAGAGGGTATAGTGGACCGACTATACGTGTGAACTCAGGAATAAATTTCCGAAAGTAGGAGGCTAGACCGAGAAATTGGCGAACATTAGTAGCAGATTTAGGTTCCGGGGCATCTGCTAATGCCTGAATCTTCCGTGAATTGGGCCTAATCTCACCGGATTGTACAGAATATCCTAGGTAGTCAATCCGTTGTTTCATAAATTTACATTTCTTTGTATTGAACGTAAACCCGGCTTCTGATAACGCACCTAAAACGAGGTCAAGGCGCTTCAGTCCTTCGGAGATGTTAGCAGAATGACATAACACGTCATCCATATAGATAAGTGGTTTATCTTGTAAATGACTAAGAGCCTTTGTGATGCATCTCTGAAAAACTGAAGGAGCATTTCGCAAACCAAACGGCATGGCGAGATACTCGTATTGCCCTTCGTTTGTCACGAAAGCTGTCTTCTCCACTGACTCAGGGTGGATAGGGATCTGGTGGATGTCAGAAGCCATATCCAATGAAGAGAAGAAATTGGCACCCGTAAGCTGGTCTATTTGTTCCTCGATTCGAGGTAAGGGATAATGTTCAGGTATGGTATTTGAATTTAACTCTCTAAAATCTACACAAAGTCTATCGGAATTATCCTTCTTTTTCACAAGAACGATAGGACTAGCAAATGGAGATGTACTCTCTCGAATCACCCCTGCGTCTAATAGTTTTTGAACCTGTTCCCTAATTATTTGTTTCTCTATAGGTGCTCTTTTATGGGGACATCGCTGCACTACTCTATGGGGATCTACTAATTTAATTTCACATACTCCCGTCTTCACACGCTTGGTAGGTATACCCTCGATAAAGTTATTCGCATATTTGCTCAATATGGAAATCAACATGTCTTTATCCCGTTCCTGCAAATCCGTGTCAATTTTTGAAAAATCTGGGATATCTGATGTCGCGACACAAAGATTAGATTGTTGTTTAGAGTATATAACAAGATTATCATTATCAATTTCTACACTTAACCCCTGATCAAAGATATCTCTACCAATAATTATAGGGTCAGATATAATATTGTCGGAAACTACGTGAAAGAGTAAACTAATCAAGCGATCACCAATTTTAACATCGGCCTGAATTTGAGTCGTACACTGTATATCATCGCCTCCGATGCCGCTCAGATAGACGAGACTTTTACACACAGTACCCAAGAGTTTACCACGATAACCTTCTTTCACAAGAGAACAGGACGATCCGCTGTCAAATAGAAAAGGTACAGACTCACCGGAAGATGTTGTCAAGTTACCCCTTGAAGGACGGTGTTCACATTGGTGGACTTCCTTGGCCGCAGCTTTACCACCGTTTCTTTTATCGGGACAGTTAGTCGTCACATGACCTATTTGGCCACAAGTGTAGCACGTTACATCGTTCTTCCTCTCCAACGGACGGGAAGTACTCGGAGTATCTCGAGGCTCGACTGATCCCAGTGCGTCGCGACGTTTACGGCATTCCGCAAAACGATGTCCTGATATTCCGCAAAAGTTACATCTGCCAGTGAACCTTTCGGTAGCACGAAAACGCTTCGCCTCAGGTTCGTTAGCTTCGACACCGTCTGAACGCCGCTTAAGAGATACGCCCCCCAGAATTCGGAACAATTGAGTGCGAGTTGTGATATTGTGTGCAATCAATTCGCGTCTTATCAGGCTGTCCTTCTGACAGAGCACAGAAATAACGAATCCAGTCACCACTTCTTCAGGCATGACAGCCTTAGGTATTCGTTCGATTAAGTTCCATAAACGAAGAGCGGCTTCCGAAGCTGTCTCCTTAGGTCCTATTTGGAATCGCAATATTTCGTCGAAGTAGTCCTGAAGAAGCTTTGGTTTTGAAAATTTAGCTAAAAGTGTCTGTTTGACAACGCTCCAGGATATTTCATCTAAGTTTAGCTTAGTGATACAGGCAGCCGCTCGTCCTTTTAAAGAGGTAGTAAGAGCCATGAGCAAGTCTATTCCTTCTAAGCGCTTATTATGAACGATTGCTTCGGTAATATTGCACCAACCAGATATGTCACAGTCTGGTTCGTCTGGATTAAACGGTAAGAAATGTGTTGCCTGGTTAGTACTCACAGTTGGCGTTGGCTGAGCTGCGAGAACACGAGATAAAAGCATTTCCATGTTATTCAGCAATTTTTCTGCATCCGATTTTAGTGTTTCTTGCTCAATTCTAGCCCCGTCCAATCCCACTTCTGATGTAGGGCGAGGATGGCCTTCATCAGAACTCATCTTGTGTGATGTATGTAGGTAGTTGGCAAAATCACAAGTCCTTATTATAATCACAGTTATTTAATCAGCACAGGGTTTAATAATTGAAGTACACAGTCTAATGATCAATTTATAGTCCAGTCAACGCGATACTAACTTAAACATTAAATTTAATTACGAATGAAATTCAAAGCGATTCGTCGTAAGCGTGGTGAGCGGGCGCCGACCCGAAAAACAACCGTCTCAAGATGGCCGCCCTCACAACCATCGACAATGACGCTTCGCTAGGCTGACTTTTAACAGCTTAAAAATCAACCTGACCTCTAACGTTGACGGATGCGCCGTCATATTGAATAACTATTTATGTATAACAACTTACTCACGTGAATAAACTGAGAAAAGCTCAACTAGTTTCATGTTACAACGGAACTCTTATTCATGAGCAGCGTGAGCGACGCGGCAACTTCGCGCGACGTTGCGACTTTAAACTAGAGCTTATCTCAGTTCATTCACGTAAGTCGTTATTTTCAATAAATTTTCTTTAGTATCTATGTCTCACGATAACTACTATTTAAAAAAAGAACGATAAATATTCTTAGGTAATTATTTTACTAAGTATTTTCTTTCATAATCATCATCAGCCTATAAGTGCCCACTGCTGAGCAAAGGCCTCTTCACATACGGAGAAGGTTAGAGCGTTAATCACCACGCTTGCTCAATGCGGGTTGGCGATTTCAAACTTATAATTAGAAATTATAAGTCCAGGTTTCCTCACGATGTTTACCTTCGCCGTATGTCAGTGGTGTCTAAATAATCATAGAAAGTACCTACATTTAACTCGGAAAAAGTCACATTGGTACTTACCAGGGTTCGAACCCATGAGCATGAGAAGCGGGCTCCTTAACTTCCAGGTCACCACGACTTTTTTTTTCATAAGTCGTCGAGTATTCTATGATTATAATATTATTTTCTAGTTAATTGGTTCTAATTTACATATCTTTGTCTACAGTGAACAATGGGCTCCCTGCCTCGGGTCTCAGTGGTGAATGGCGCCCGCACGTTGGTGCCTGCTGCCCCTCTACCACAGCACCTCTCACACTTGGCCACCAGTGATAACACCGCCTTAGTGTACTCAGGTAATGTACCTCTGAAAATGTTATCTATGACTGCACCGTTGGCGCGGTGGCTGGGCAACTGGCTGGCGCGCAACGTGTCGCGTGTTCGATTTCCGCACGGAACAACTATTTGTGTGATCCACAGATTGTTGTTCCGGGTCTGGGTGTGATGTTCATGTGAAATTTTATGTTTGTAAACGCACCCACGACACAGGAGAAAAACCTAGTGTGGGGCAATGTTTTACATGCAATTTGATAGAATAGATGTCATAGCATCTTAACTTATTGGACTCAATGTGCATTTCTTTATTTTGGGGTGTGACTATCTTCGAATGGTAATCTTTTTAAGTGTTGGAGAGCCATGCTTCGGCACGAAAGGGTCGGCTCGACCGGAGTGATACCACGGCCTCACAGAAAACCGACGTGTTGTGTTTCGCCTTGGGAGTGAGGTTACCGGATACCCAAACCTTCCCCACACCCAATCCCAAAAGCTTCAAATTCCATAATCCCCAAAAGGTTGGCAACGCACTCGTAACTCCTCTGTGGTGGCGGATGTCCATGGGTGGCTGATTGCTTTCCATCATGTTATCCGTTTGTAAGTTTGCCGAACCATCACATAAAAAAAATCTGGACGGCTGGTCTCATTTCCAAAATTCTTCCACTGATGTATAGCTACAATGTTTCGGAGTCATACAGGCTGCTACAATTATAATTGATTTGCGCATTTGAGTTGAGCCATCGCTTTAAACTGATTTTAAAATCTCAGGAGACATTTGTTTAATACGAGTGCCAAATCGCTGGCGGTATAGTATCAGATATACAAACATGACTAGAAAAACCTGAATAATAATGTAGATTTAATTTTTAAGTTAGAAGAACTGAACAGATCAATTAAGAGTACAGAAAACGGTTGCGTAATATTGTAGTTGATGGTAATTTATGTGAGAACAACTGATTGATATGATCGCGCAATCTTCGCGTCCCACTTTGTTAATTATATTGCATTGTTTTTATTGCTTTAATAACAAGGAATGTGTCTAGAGATGCTATAGCTCACCAAGCTAGTTTTGTATGGGAGAGCTTTGCTCCCTTTTTTATGCGATAGGACGGGGAAATATGCTTATATTTGACCTGATGTTAAGCCATGAACACTCGCCACACGACGATCGATCTCCGGCCACCGTAAGCCCGGGCACACGTCGGCGAGTAAGCGCAGTTCGACGCCCGACCAGAACCAGGCCCGAGCGTACGGCGCGTAGACGGAGCCCTATAGGGCTGATGTTCAGCTGGGGTTGCGGAGTACGGGCAATGAGGCACCGCGACCTCTGACCCAGAGCAGGAGAAGGAACAGGGGGGTTTTAAGTCAGTAAGAGTCTGACACTTCCTCCCGCCCAGCCCTGGGCGGGAGAAGTCATTTGATGATTTTCCCCTCACAAAGAAAAAACACCAACGCGATTTTTGATGCCGTTTTTTTAATAGAATTTTTTGATGAATAGGTTTATATGTATAAGAGCATTCATTAAATAGTGAAGAAATTAATTAACAGCATAGTCGTGTGAAGCCGGGTCGTATCGCTTATCCAAACTAATCCAAATACAAACTAATATTATAAATTCGACGTAACTCTGTCTGTCTTTTCTTCACGCCTAAACTACGGAACCGATTTCAGTGAAATTTGGTACAGACATAGTTTTGAACTCGAGAAAGGACTTAGGATAGTTTTTATACCAAAAATCTGCAGGAAGTAACTATACCACGCGCACGAAGTCGCGGGCAAAAGCCATAAAAAAGTACCTACGATTGTGATAAGTTCGTTATAATAACGGTATCCGACCTCGTAACATTTGCATGCAATGTCAATAATATAAAAAGTATTATTAATACCTACATAGTCTGTTCTACCGATAATAAACAATAATACATTATTAAGAAGATAATAAATTATTACAATGAAGCTGTGTAATGATATGGAATTTGATTTGTGAGTTCAATGGAACATCATCTTGCATAAATAAATACATGACATAGATATAGGTATTGGTTTGTCTGCGACTCCTTTTCGTTCCACACAGGCCGGGAGAACTGAATGATTCCCCACTCAAAAAAAGATTAAGGTGGTGTGCTATTCCAGGCTTTAAAACTTTTTCTGTACCTTCCTACCTACCTACCTGTTAAGTGTGAGAAAAAAAATGGGTCGGTACCACGGCCTCACAGAAAACCGGAGGTTACCGGAGACCCAATCCTTCCCCTCTCCAATCCCTAAATCTCCCAAATCCCTAACTCCAAAAGGTCGGCAAGGCACTCGTAACTCCTCTGTTGTTATTGTTGTCCATGGGCGGCGCTGATTGCTTACCATCAGGTAATCCGTCTGCTCGTTTGCCGACCTTTCACATAAAAAAACCTATTTTCATTCAGGTCTGTTCTGTACGTTTTTAACCCCCGACGCAAAAAGAGGGGTGTTATAAGTTTGACGTGTCTGTCTGTCTGTCTGTGGCATCATAACGAATGAGCCGATTTCAATTTAGTTTTTATTGTATAACAGGTGTTTTACGGGCGAATGTTCTTAGATATGATTGATGAACATCGATTCAGGCTTTTAAAAGTTATGGGGGGGGGGGGTAAAGTGGGGAAGAAAAGCAAATGCAAATATGCACAACTGAAGTATCAAATTAAAGGGTATGACTTGTACGTCACAAAAAACAAAAAAAATTATAAGTTTGACGTGTCTGTCTGTGTGTCTGTGGCATCATAGCTCCTGTAGGTTATGTTTTTGTGTCGCGTTTCTTTTAAATTTTTAATTTATATGTATCTTGTTACGTCAAGGAGTAATAACTTCCTAAATTACTGCATATCACCTACCACATATCTCTGCACTACCAAGAGGTTGACTGGCAGAAAATGCTTCTAGCATTAAGTCCTCCGATATGCAATTGTATATAAAGAATAAATAAATAATATTTGTCAGATTAGGAATTTTTTGTCTGCACAGGGTTGCGCAACGATGAACATCAGGCTCGGAGTAGATCAGGTTTGCTATAGGGATCTGGGACAAATCTATGAAACCGGGGCGTTTTTTTGCGACACACAACGCCAGTGTCTTTCAATCCTAATTATGATATTTTGCCGATGGTAAAAGAGGTCGCACTGTGATTTTTTAATCATGATTATTAAAATCTAGAAGTAACATAATCAGCTACATAATGTTTATTACAAATTCAACATTTCTCAGAGCTACATAAATATTTCAATAAGTCTTTTAATAAGGATGGTCGTGTCGTAATACTGTTTTTGTGGCAACAACGACATTTTTATATTAAAACTCGGTAAGATTGGCATTGTAATTACATGTTTTATAATTGTAATACTTCAGAACACCTTACTAGGACAGCATTTAACAATATCTAAGTAACAATTGAATACATTATTTGGTTAATTAATGACTTGATTCTTAGAAACTATTGCACTATGAGAACATTATCTTAATCAAGTTATTCACGTTATGTTTTAACGTTTTGAGGTTAGTGGAGGCCCAATCCTTTCCGTCCCACATCCGCATTATAATCCCAAAACACTCGTAACTCGTTCGTAACTCCTCTGATGCTACGGATGTTTATGGGCGGCGCCATTTGCTTACCATCAGGAAACCTTTGTTTTTTCGACTGAATTAAAGAATGAGCTAAATCTAGTACCCTTTGACAATTGTCTCCAACTAAACTAAAGATTTCTCTGACTGAAACTGGTTTAAAAAGATTGAACATAGAGTTTCCTGCTCGTTCTTTTTCATCAGAATCTACACTTTGGAGCGATCAAATAGCTTCACTAAGAGGACTGAACAGGACTGACTGACAGGCTACTATCTAGCTCAACTCAAACTGAAAAGAGTATAGCTAGTTATACTCATTTCAAACTTAAAAGAGTATAGCTAGCTATACACTAAACTAGCTATACTCTTTTAGGTTTGAGTTGAAGTTCTTTAGTGCCTGTAAAGGCCTATTGAAATAAATGATTTTTTTTTCACTCTTCACTTCTTCATATGTAGGTATAGGTCGTTTTTATTCCACTGGATAACCCTACTAAAGCTTCTCACATCCGCTGCAGCACCTGTAAGTCAGGATTGATAGTGGATCCAATAGCATAGAGGATAAAGGCCTGTCTACTTAACCCCTTGACAGTTGGCTCCGATTGAACTAAAGATCTCTCTCCGTCCGTGTCCATTACCGTAACTTCGGATTTGCTTTTCAAGCAACAGGTTGTAGCATCCCCTAGTTTCGAAAAACTGAGGAATTTCCGATCAGATTATGTAATAAAAATTGTCTAAAAAAAGAGAGAAAGAAAATTACTTTATGTGTGCAGTGTAGGAGAGTTACACTTTGGCACGAATCGGCCGGTTCATTCGGAGTGATTCCTCAACCTTACAGAAAACCACCGTGAAATGACGCGTGCGGTATGTTGTGCTATGTTCTTGATGAATCCGAAGGCTCAACTCCTCTCTCTCTCTCTCTCTCATCTCTTCACAATCCTTAAATATCCGAAACCAGGTAATCTGTGTGCTCAAAAAAATACCGATCTATTCCATAAAAAAATCGTTTTTATTCGCACGCAAGAACTTTACTTGCTCAAAGAAGGACACGTAGCGCCACCTGTTGGTGTTATCATCAAACTAGTCTTAGTAAGTGACCGCTCAAACTTATCCATTTTATTTTTGTTTTCAGATGAGACTTCTAGTGTGCGAGTGAGTTACGCGGAGCTGGAAGCTCGAACCAACGCCCTCGCTAGAGCCATAACTTCACGCGCAGGACCTAAGGGGGCTAACAGAGATGGGGATTATGTCATCGCTGTCTGCATGCAGCCTACACACAAGTTAGTATTCTTTATTATTATTGTATGAGAAGCCTTCCGCAGTACTGGTGCGTATACGTCCATTTGAATTTGGAGATTTTCTAAACGTTGGCCTACAGAAGGACTCTCTCTCCTGTGTCGTGGGTGCTTTTACAAATTCAAAGTCAAATCAAATTCATTTATTTCTATTGGGTCTATTACAGGCACTTTTGAATGCCAAACAAAACTTAAAGATAAAAAGTGTCAGTCTGTCGGTCACTCCTCTTAGTGAAGCTATTTGCCGATTCAGAACAACGAGCAAGAAACTCCATTGTTACTCTTTTTAAATTAATTTGACGTCAAGGTTTTTTTTCTGTTCTTCCAGTACCATTACAACTTTGCTGGCGACTTGGAAGGCGGGAGCAGCGTACGTGCCAATGGAGCCGAGCTTCCCTCAAGCCAGGATCTCACACATCTTGAAGGACGCTGAACCAGCCCTCGTTATTTATGATGAAACCGGTACTAACACTTGTAATATCACCATTTAGAGTAATAACAATCGTGCGATGTAAGACTCACACGAATTAATTGAGGATAGCTCTACTAATTTCAATTTAACATGGGACTCTTATTAATAAGTTGCGTGCCCTTCGCGGCGGCGTTGCATAGCCGACCCAGCCGTGACAAGCACGCTGTTATGCCTATTATCTTAATGTCAAAACAAAGCTGTAACCATCAACTTCTATGCAAGTTATATGGGTTTTATTTTCACACTGAGTTTCTATGTATCATCAAAAACTTAGAAAAAAAAAGAGCAAAGATAGAAAGCCTAGTCGGTTAAAAAAGGGACAATGAACTAAGAATCTAGTTTTATTTAGATTATAATATGACATTAATTGTAATGAAAAATTTTTAGTTTTTATTCCGCGAAAAAATTCCAGGCTTTTTACAGGATGCAATCCCATTCCAATGCAATCATGCATATGTACAAAAAACGGAAAAACGTGCCACGCAATCAAACCTATACTTGACACGTGTTTCGCCCCTCCACAGGGCATCCTCAGGAGATGTTCACGCGACGAGCGAGACATCCAGCAACAAGCCTGGATTTATGTCGCGGAATTAAAACTAAATATTTTTCCTAACATTTCATGTCATGGATTTCCGTAAAGTAACGCCTGATTCTATAAATTATCTATAATATGACACTTAATTTGAACTTTGATTTTGATCCAAAGGTTGTGCCTTATACAAACCAATCAGAAAAAAAAAACTATTTTACATTTTGAACCTTTCTATTCCAGCTAACCCAGCCATGTTTTCTGGAAATGGCATCCCAGCAGTGTCATTCGAGGAGTTGTTGCACGAAGCTGGTGGACTATCAGCTGATGCCATCCAGGATGTGGAGGTACTGGCACCAGCGAGGAGCGAGAGCATTGCCATCGTACTGTATACCTCTGGCAGTACTGGTATCCCGAAAGGTAATTTTGTTGTTATATTATTTTTAGTGGGTAAGAACTGCAGATTTAGTGGACACAGCAATTATTGTTTTTTTTTCACAAACATTTTTCAGTTTCAGTCTTGCCAGATTGCAGGTTCGGCATTAAAGTGACTAACTAAACTAATGAAAGTGCTTAGACTTGTGCTATAAAAAATTGAACTTTAAACTCTTAGAGAAAAGTGACCAAATGACCCTAAGATCGGAAAAGGAGGATCCTCTGACCAGGTGATCAGTTTGGCGGGCTACTGCCCGACAGTTCTACGATGGGATTTTCTATCCGTGTTTATTAGCGCGCAAACTTCACTTGCGTCATTTAGGACTCGTGACGCCATCTATTGACCATTGCCGGTACTACGTGTACCGCCACAAACTGAACAATTTGTGATGCTTTTCATCCTGTATCCATTAACCGATACAATATCTGAACAAACTTTTAAAGAACAATCAATCGAAACTTTGTGCTAAACCAAAGTTCCTAAAGTCTGATTTTCCACTCATTGTTTTCTAGGAGTCCGTCTCCCCTACTCAGCAGTTTGCAACCGTCTCTGGTGGCAATTCCAGACCTTCCCATACAGCGACACTGAGGTTCACTGCGTCTGGAAGACTGCTCTGACCTTCGTGGACTCTGTCTGTGAGATCTGGGGACCTTTACTGCACGGCAGGACCTTGGTAATCCTGTCTCGCGAGACTACCAGAGACCCTCAGAAACTGGTCAACGTTTTGGCTGATAACCAGGTTAGTTGTATTTAGATTATGATACTAATGTAAGCTGATCTCTTGTATTTGTTTGTTAATACTACTGTAAAACTGATTTGAATTAATAATATTCACGATTAGGCTTGAACTTAATTCATTTGTTCAATTTCAAAAAAAAATTAAGAATATTAGGATCAAGATTTTATAAATAAAAAATAACTACAATCAATATATCTGCGCCATTTAAAATTTCAGATACAACGCCTAGTGCTAGTGCCAACCCTACTTCGTTCCATTCTCATGTACCTTTCCCTCAAACCTTCCGAAAAACCTCTCCAGCACCTTAAACTCTGGGTATGCTCTGGAGAGACCCTAAGCAAGGAACTTGCTGCCCAGTTCTTCAAGAACTTTGGTGACCACAATGGGTATAAATTGGCCAACTTCTATGGAAGCACGGAAGTGATGGGAGATGTGACCTACTACGTCTTGGAGAATACACGCCAGCTTGATGCTCATCCTACTATTCCTATTGGTAAGTCAAAAGAAAGATTTATATGAAGATAAAGATGATGATAAGCATATAAGTTAGTACCGACTAAGGAATCAGGTTAAGACTTTGAGACCAGACCAGAGAAACTTTGATCTCTTATAAGTCTGCCAAGCACGGAGGCCTGATATACCCTCATATCTAGAGGAGACCTCCTAATCCCAAACAGTGGGATTTCACAAGCGGTTAATAATTTTGACCGTACTTCATTGGGAAGGCCTTGAAAAACGGCTGACAAAATATGTATTTCTTATGTCATAGAGCGCCAAAACTGTCTACAGATTACCTGATAGTAAGCAATCGGCGCTAATATACGTAACACCAGAGGAGTTACGAGTGCGTGTATTTGTTGACGGCCCTTTGAGGATTACAGTTTCGTAGATTTAGAGATTGGGGAGGAATATATGCTTCTCCCACAATTTTAAGGTGCCTAATTGTTTGAGTTTTTTAAAGGTACTCCATTGGACAATTGTGCCGTATACCTTCTTGATGAGGAAATGAATCCCGCTCACGAGTCGGAACCTGGCGAGGTCTGGGTGGCTGGACGTAACCTGGCTGAAGGTTATGTTGGAGGACAGGGAGCTGACAAGTTCATTGATAACCCACACGCTGCTCATCCAGGTAATATTTGAGTTTTTATGGGAATTAATGGTAGATGGGACTACCTGATGGTAAGTTATCGGCGCCACTTATAGACATCTGCAACACCAGGGGCTTCTGTCACTGTAAAGGCATTTGCACCTATAAAACTGGCCTGCGACTTGGAAAAACAAAAAGCAAACTATTTTTTATGGTTACCTAAAACTGCTTAGTGCTGATGGTGATCATTATAATTTATGACCTTTGTCCGTCTTACGAGTTATTTATTTCCTATACTTTCAAACATTGGAAAAAAACGCTTTCTGTCTCTGTCGCCTGACTCTTTGTTACAATAATAATATGGAAAATTCTTAAGTAAACACAAGTACCTATTGTATGGCAATTTTTCTGATGATAGTACAATTATTTCCAGATTTCGCTCGTCTATACCGCACTGGAGATTTTGGAGTTCTTCAGAAGGGAGTAATTCTGTACGCTGGTCGGACCGACTCACAGATTAAGATTCGAGGACATCGGGTAGACTTGCAGGAGGTGGACCGAGCTGTAGCTGGTGTAAGCGGGGTTGACAAATGTGAGTAAGAAAATGGACCTTTAACTTTTGGACAGTAGGTTTATTTTGGATTACATCGTTGTTGATAAGAATTTGGTTAGGGATGATAAATTTATAGGACACATACGAGTAGTATGTGTTTGTAATAATATCGTAGCCATGTTTCTAAAAGGAACTGTGAAGCCGTCTCTCCTTTCTGTGAAGCAGTGATGCTCACAAAAGAGGAGGCGGAGCGCGTAGAGGAACTTATTCCTCACGCCCCAGCCGCCGTACTAGACGACACTCCGGGCGTCGGGGATCGATTGATGATTGACGTCGGGGATTTAGCGTAAGCGCGGAACTTCGGTCGGCCAGCAAGGGTAGCACGCCGCCCAACGGCAATTACAATAGGCCGGGTTTTGGCCGCAATCTCGCCTGCCTGTAGGCAAAAATGCGACCTAAGATGGAGCACGCTTACCTATAAGCAAGTCTTCACCCGTCAAGCAATCGGTGAATCCAATCTTACAACAACAAAGGATTACAGGGTAAAGGAATTTGGGGATTTACTGATTATCTGTTTTAATCTTTTAGGTGTGGTACTATGCTACGGTCTGGACCGCGGTAACCCTGAGATTCTGGCCTTCGTCACCATCAAACCTGAAGCCAGGATTGCTGCTCAGCATATTGAGGCTGCCCTCAAGAACAGCCTCACTCATTACATGATACCTCAGGTAATTTTCAATTTAATGATTTATTAATTAGTTCGGGAGACGTAAAAAGTAGTTTGCTACAGAAAATTCTGCTGAGAAATCATTTGTTTTTGCTCAAGCTTTTGACGGACCTTTAATCTGGGGAAGCCAATTCTTGGCACGAATGGGTCGGGTCGACCCGAATAATGCAACGGCCTCACAGAGAACTGGCGTCAAACAACTGTAGCGACATGTTATGTTTGCCCTATGATTGAGGTTACCGAAGGCCCACCAATTCCTGCCCTCCCCTATCCTTTCACCAGATAAAAAAAAAAAACTTTATTTGATAGCGCTTGAGTTTTCTGGAACAATACTAAGTTGTGTAAAAGATAGAATCGAAATTTGGTAAACTTAAATCACTAAAACCACCATTAAACACCCAGAAGACATCGGCTTCACCAAAGAGAGCAGCTACGGAGCTACGTTATTTAGCGCATACACCAGACAGATTGAAAACTTTTCATGAAAATTAATACGAAGATAGGAAATATGACTATGTGTGTATGTATTAATAAATAATGATTTGCAGGTGATTGAAGTAGAAAGCATACCGCTGCTTGTAAATGGGAAAGTGGACAGACAAGCGTTACTGAAGATGTATGAGAACACCAACAATAATGGTAAGTACTTCTAGAAACAAGGTATAAGATATGTTTGTCCAAAGAATCCTAAATAATTAAATTTCTGATAGGCTGCATATGAAGACATTTTTGCATAGAAATTTTACACGACGTGACACATAAAAAAGGGTCGGGGAGAAAGATTCTTCCTCATCTTATTTTTTAAAGAAAATGAAAACATTTTTTTAATATGTTTATTTACATTTAACTAAAGTAAGTATATGTATGTAGGTAGAATTTTGTTTGACAACTTTTTGGCTTATTCTAGTTTAGCAACATGATCCAATCGCTATAAGAATATTGGGTCTTTTTATAAAAATACCGCGCGAGTTTGGTTTTGGCTGTGGTCCCGGCAACACATACGTTTTATATGAGAATTACATCATTTACCTCTTCATTTACTCTAATTCGTTAAGCTATGTTATACACATGCATCGCAAAAGCGTTTGCAAGTGTAACTTTAATGCATTTGTTAACAAAAACCTACTATACTTTACATTCAGAAAACAAAGCTCTCGAATGAAAGAGCAGGATGTGCAATACAGAGAAGAGGTTGCAACATTAATAAATATTTGGGGGTTGCTGGTGGAAGCGAAATGATTTACCGCGGCCCCGACCCGGAAAATAAATGGGATGGTTTAGTCACTATGAGACACTCATTCTTACCTCATCCAGGTCGTAAGAACTTATTTGATGATTTACGCCCTTCAAAAACAGAAAAAAAAGAACTATCTACAACACACTATTCATTGCTAGACTACGGATTTTTGACTGCAAAGAAGTTTTTATTTAGCCTTAATTTACATAATTGGATTTGAGATCGCAGTTTAAAAGAATCCAAGTTTATCAGAGAATGCTATTTCTCAATCTGTTAAATGTATATTCACTTAGTCGGCCTTTACGGCACTTCAGGAAGATTAGGCTAATGTATTTTATTCTGCCTATATCAGCGTATCATTTCTAGAAATATTATTTTGGTGAAGCATACTCGAAAGTTATACCGAAGACTCTTCGTGGATGACGAATCTGTACCTACTATTAACAAATCAGAATCTAACACCAATTTTTCTCCTCCAGATGATTCAGAGATACCTCTAGAACTGGACTACTCCTCAGTCTCTCCATCCGACATGCAAGCTGCCAAGGTCCTCTTTGAGACGGTGGGAGAGGTTCTGGGCAGGGCTGCTCGGGGTGCCATCAGCGTGAGAGCTGGTTTCTATGAGTTGGGAGGCAATTCTCTAAACTCCATTTATACCATTACCAGGTTGAGGGACAAAGGATATTATATCGGTGAGTTTTAGACAATTTCAATATAGATTTTGTACATTCTGTGGTTAAGGTTGCCTACTGTCGTGGTGGCCTGGAGGTTAAGGCGCCCGCTTCTCATGCATGAGGGTGCGGGTTCGAAACCTGGCCAATACCAGTAGTGTATTAATATTAAGTACCAATGTGACTTTTTCCGAGTTATATGTACTTTCTATGATTATTTAGACACCACTGACATACGGTGAAGGAAAACATCGTGAGGAAACCTGGACTTATAATTGCTAATTATAAGTTTTGAAATCGCCAATCCGCCTTGAGCAAGCGTGGTGATTAGTGCTCAAACCTTTTCCATGTGAGAAGAGGCCTTTCCTCAGCAGTGGGCACTTATAGGCTGACGTTGATGTGTGATGTGGGTGTCTGTGTGGTTAAGGTTATTTTTATGTGATACAGCGACAAACAAGTAATCGGATTATGGACACTCCCGACACCTAAGGAGATACGGGTATATAACTGACCTTTTGGGGATTTTGGTTTCGGAGATTTAAGGATTGAGGAGGGATGGGGAGGCGTTGTGGTTGTTTCACGCCCATTTTCTGAGAAGCTTTGGTATCACTCGGCTCGAGCCAGTCCATTTGTGCTAAAACTTTGCTCTGAAACCATAAAATTGACAAATAAACTGGTAACTGGTAAAATACCGACAGATAAGTTAGATAATTTCGTGTCGAGTTAATTATTTCAAGATGAACTCGTTGGATTCGGATTTTTTGGTCATATTATTATGTTTCCCATAGATATCAGCGACTTCCTTGGTGCTTCCAACCTAGGCGAGGTCCTGTCCCACATGACCACCAGTCCGCAGCAGGATGACGATGGAAAAGAACTGTTCTCCGCTGAACCACTCGCTGATGAACATAAAAAGGAGGTTATAGAGTAAGTTGATTGTAAAAATAAACTTATGTAGTAGCTAAGCCTGGCATGACAAGAAAATAAGGAAATTTTGATTATTCATAGAGATCTAAATTATCGGTTTAAAATGGTCAATAGTCGCCTTCGGAAAGTTGTTTTTTATATCGTTGCCTCTACAATAGGATTTACTTCTATGTAGTGGGTGTGTTTACAAAAATACAAATTCTCATACACATTACAACCAGACCTGGAACAACAATTTGTGGATAACACAAAGTACCCGCAACACTTTAACCAGCAGCCAGTTGCCCAGCCACTGCGCCAACAGTGCGATCAAATTGTGGTGATGGCTTTGCATAAGTTCTCCATGTGAGAACTCTTCGGTGTTTGCTTGTCTTTGGTTGGTTAAAGGGTGATGATTTGTGACTGTCTAAGGGGTGAATTTGTGCTAGTATAGCTCTTAAGGGCAAACCGGGGTTGGGGGTCAAGTGCAGTCATGTAACGCAGCTTCAGCCTAGGGCAGGAAAAGGAGCGAAGTGGTTTTTAGTCAGACTGTATTGACAGAACGAGAGAATTCATTCGATGATTTAGCAGAAAAAGGCTACTAAAGACAAGCTTTACCAATCTAAGTTCAATATTTTTAGATTTTCTCCATCTTTTCATCATCAGCCTATAAGTGCCCACTGCTGAGCAAAGGCCTCTTCTCATACGGAGAAGGTTAGAGCATTAATCACCACGCTTGCTCAATGCGGGTTGGCGATTTCAAACTTATAATTAGAAATTATAAGTCCAGGTTTCCTCACGATGTTTACCTTCACCGTATGTCAGTGGTGTCTAAATAATCATAGAAAGTACATATAACTCAGAAAAAGTCACATTGGTACTTGCCAGGTTTCGAACCTACACCCCCATGCATGAGAAGCTCCATCTTTTATTCTATCGATATCATTCATCACCTTCTGCAGGACTAAAGAATTTCAAATTCTCCTTTCAGAATGATAGTGTCATCATTTTACAACAAGGCGGAGTTGGAGCAGTTCTTGAAACACGAGATCGACACGAACGACTACGCTGTACTGATCAGCGACACCTGGCCAGCGCTCATAGACGCTCAACTCAGTGTTGTGCTCAAGAACTGTTAGTAAATCTTCTTAGATTCAATTTTCTTTCTTCTTTACACTTCAAAGTATTGGATTTATAAGACTCAAGAGAGCCGATGTGCTAACTAAGGGGAGTTAAAGCAGTGGCTTTACTTCGCTAAACCCCAACCTCTTGCAACTCGCCTGTTGGGGTAAGAGACAGAGCTAGACAACTTGAATAGCTCTTTCTCTTACCCACACTGAAGTGGGATTAAAACAATCTTACTTTGATCGTCATGGTTAGCCCTCTGATCATAGTATGAGAGACTCAAACGAAAAAGAAAAAAAAAACCAAAGTTTGATAGGGTTTTTTATGTCGTATGAGCAGATGGATTATGTACCTGATAATAAGCAATCGGCGCTGCCCTGTTTACAACTCAGGATGACCTTGGTTAGCTATTTAAGGATTGGGACTTTTGAGAATTGGATGTGATGCAATGAGTCGGTAACCTCACTCACGCTGCGAAACACAACGCAGAGTGACACCCGCAACAACAGAGAAATGACGAGTGCATTTTCGGCTTTTTGGAGATTAGGGCTTCGGAGATTTTGGGATAGGGGGAAGGGTAAGACTGGACTACCGGTAATCTTACAACGCGCAACAAATTTTCGACGTAGGTTAAACATGTAGGCTGCTACTTTCTGCGTGTGTGGGATTTGAACAGAGGGGAGGAGCTAGAATAGGTGTATAGCTCCATCCCTCTTTCTCGCCCAGAAGATTGACGCTTCAACTCGTCATGGTAGGCCCTCAGATTCTAATTACTGAATTGTTTGACATATTCGAGCTTATACTATCTTTTTCTTATAACTGTAGATGACATAATTTTGAATTCTTAGGGATGGTGCCACAAACGAGCGGATGGTAAGCATTTGTCTGTGGACATCTGCACACACCAGAGGACAAGTGCGTTGCCCTTTTGGGATTGTTAGGAATCTGTGGATTAAGGATTTGGAAATTAGATGGAAGGGCAGATAGGATTGGGCCTCTGAAAACTTCACACACTCAACGCCAGTTTTTCTGTGAGGCCGTGGTATCACTCCGGTTTAGCCGACCCATTTGTGTCCAAGCATGGCTCTTCCATTTTCAAAAGTTGATCATGTGGTTGATGTTCTCTCTTAAGACTTAGAAGAAAGATTTTTCTGGTTACTGATAACGATGATCATTCGAACCCTTTTTCTCATATTAACAGCATCAGGAATCCCAGTGGCTGTGGCACTGAACTTCGACGCTCGAGACGAACCTGATGTGGAATCTGAAGAGACAGGTGGTCTGATGAAGATCATGATCTTCTTGGAGTTCGTAGAGAGCACGGTCAGAGATTCTATGCTACCTCCAGGAAAAGGTAAGTTACTTTGATCAGAATATTTTTTATAATAGGTCTTTACCTATGAAATTGCCGTTTTGCATAAAAAAATTGAAAAATGCGATAAAAATGTAACACTAATCAATAAACAAATGACTACTTTTGGAAAAAGAATCTCATGTTTTTAAAACAAAATTAATTAGCCTTAGCCTAACAAAAACTATTTTGATTTGAAATGACCAGTACTGCAGAACGGCAATTTCATAGGTAAAGACCTATTATTCCCGGTTCTTTTTTGTCTGGGGAGAATCATCAAATGAGTTCTCCCGGCCAGGGTAAGGCTAGAGAGAGTGTCAGACTCTTACTGACTAACGTGTGCGTGTGTTAATTAGTTAATCCCGAACCCGTTGACCGTCTCAATGTCTCTGCGTTGTTCTCCCATTTTTTTTCAAGTATTGTGTTTATTTATTTTTTATTTAATCGATCTTCTGTAACGGGTAGATTAATGGACTATTTGTTTTTACTCACTTTAGTGGAAATTATTATTTTTGTTTTTTTTTTTTATTATTTTGAAACCAACAAATGATGAATGAATGAATGAATGAATGAATGAATGAAAGAGTGAATGAATGAAGGAATATTCTTTATTGTACACCATAATGATAAAAAAACACAGGAAACATTAAACACAGAAGATGGTACAATTGGCGGTCTTATCGCTTAAAAGCAATTTCTTCCAGACAACCTTTGGGTGGAGTTTAATACGGTAGTTTCCAACTAGTCAAATTCAATACTCTTATCCAAATGTCAAAAACGATACTTTTCTATGAAATTTGTATGAAAACCAACAACAACATAATCAAACTAACTAAATAATGTATCAAAGAATCTTTATGTGACACTGATTTTAAAAGAGTAACCATGGAGTTTCTTGTTCGTTCTTCTCCATCGGAATCTACACTTTGGAACGAGCGAATAGCTTCACTAAGAGGACTGACCGACAGACTGACACTTTATATCTTTAATTTTGTTTGACGTTCAAAAGTGCCTGTATGGGTCCAATTGAAATAAATGATTTTGACTTTGACTTTGACTTTAAAAAACTGAGCTATGACGTCATAGTATTTTTGCGTCAAATAGCTTAGTTATTTCTTAATAATTAGCTACAAAATATCTAAAACTTAGTGTATCGATCGATGAATAAAAGTATATTTATTTTTCAATATTTTATTGTATTGAAACGTTGAATTAATTTATTTTTGACCTAGGAAACTACCCAATTGTAGAAGAAATTTAATATGATGATGAATTATTATTAAAATTTGTAATATAATTCTGTGTTAAAGTTTAAGTTTGAAAACCCTAGTCTTAGAAAAGAAGCAATTTTCCACTATCACTGTCATTCCTAAATGAAACCACAACTTTTATTCCATTTTGAGTATAAAGTAATTATTCCTATAATCCCAATTTTCTTGTCAGGTACAATCCTGCATTCTTTCATGATGGCGACAGCGGAGAGTCTGACTCCCAGGGAGAACGTGGCCGCCATCAGGGCGCTGGAGCATGCCACCATGAACATTGCCAAGGAGAGGGGCTTCCATGGCGTCTTCACCACCAATACCAGTCCTTTGACACAGGTAAAGGCCTTTTAAATATATACCTAAAGATATAGGCGAAAGGTCTAAATTAAATTATAAGTTTTTCGTCGTTTTAAAGGTTTTTTATAAGAGTCGAGCATGTTAGAGAATAGCCTGTCAAGGACTTTTTTTTGAGGCGAATATGACTACATAGTCATACGCGACGCCTTAAAAAAAAAAATCATCGTGAGGAACTCTGGACTCAAACTTTCACCGTATGAGAAGAGGCCTTTGCTCAGCAGTGGGCACTTTTTTATTCTTAAATCAGCAGACGGATTACCTGATGGTAAGCAAGCAGCGCCGCCCATGAACACCCCCAACAACAGAGTAATTACGAGTGCGTTGCCGACATTTTGAGGATTAGGGACTTGGAAATTGGATTGGGCTTCCGTTAACCTAACTCACACGGCGAAACACAACGCTGTGGTTGTTTCACACCGGTTTTCTGTGAGGCCGTTGTATCACTCCGGTCGAGCTGACCCATTCGTGCCGAAGCATGGCTCTCCCACACTTATACGCTGATAATGTAATATTTATACTAATTTATATATTCCTTTGTTTTAGCAACTCGGTACAGATGTTCTAGGCTACCAAACTCTTTTGGACTATCAAATAAATCAGTACGTTGACCCCAATGGCGACAGGATTTTCGGAAAAGCGCCCGACGATATGAGAGCTATCGTTTGTTGGAAGCCTTTGGAGTAACTGTGATATATTTATAAGGTAAAATAAACTTTAATTTCTATGCATAAGGTACATTTTAAGTTGTGTTGTTTTGTGAGTTACAACGTTTTGTGTTTTGCTGTTTTACGTTGTAGAAGTTGGTTTACTGTTTGTTGAAATTAGGAGCTATTGTTAAGGCTATTAAGTAGATTTTTGATTGGATTTTTCTAGATTGAAATTTCCTTTTATTTTTCGCTCGAATTTATTTTTAGTGAATTTTATTTAATATTATTTTCAATTGCAATAATTACGACTATGAAGATATTAAAGTTGATGAATATAGAATTAAGACTTTATAACATTACTTTAAGGTCTGTTTTTCTTTAAACAAAATAGTACCTACAGTGATTTTTCTTGCCAGTATCTGAACTTTTCTGTATTTTATTTTTAAAGTAAATTATAACTAAACAGTATTTAGAATAGTATTGTTATAATTTAACCTCGCATAAATCTGTGTTTTAAATTTAAGTTTGGCCCTTCATGTGGAGACATTCCTTTTGTAAAAACAACTGTAAACTTACAATTGTACGGTTCAATGTCCCTTATACGTCGTAGAACAATAAGGTTAATATTGCCGTGACAAAATACAGTTTATTGTGAATATTTTTTTATTAAAAGTATTTACATTATAAAGAGATATTGTTTGTAAGTTTGTATGTATGTATAAAACATCACGCTACGATCAAATGGAGTTGAGCAGCGGGTGAAACCGCGCGAGAGTAGCTAGTATTTTATACTGATACAGCTTAAATACACAAAAAAATACTTAAATTTGAAATCAAATCAAAATATTTATTTACAAGAAATACATAGTTTACATATTTATCAACAGATTTTTACAAGTAACTAAGTGAACTAAGATTAGGTACACTCGAAAAACTCAACAATAACAATGACAATATTGTGTAAGTACCTATAAAAATCGACTACTATTTTGTCTAAGTACATAATTCTCTCCTACTTTTCTCCTGACATAATACATATCTATATACAATTACTACAAATACAAAATTATATGTAGGTATATAGGTAAAGTACTAGGTACTGACTAACCCTACCCCCCCCCCCACATGCTGCGCAAGGGTGTCACCTAAGCTCGGTGTCAATCATATTTTGTTTTGTTAGCGAACCGTTTTTTTATTTTGATGGCAATTCAACAAAAATGTCTTCTCCTACCCTGGTGGTGGTGGATAGAGAGGGAGTGTCAGACTCTTACTGAAATACTGACTAAAAGCCCTCCCGTTCCTTCTTCTGCTCCAGGTAGAGGCCACGGTACATAATTGCGTTTGCACTAAACCCAACTATTAGGGTCCGCTCTACTTTTCTAAAATAAACTTTAAAAATATCCTACTCTTTACCAATAACAACACACAAACATATAAAAAAAAGAATCATCGAAATCGGTTAAGCCGTTTTCGACATACGCGCTTACAAACACTTTTTCCGATTCATCTTAAACTGTTTAATACATTTACATTATACAATAAAACGATATTCAAATCTAAATATTGAATAAACAATTTTGTGTGAATATGAGTGAATGACATGATTAGGTATCGATTGATGATTAAAATCGATAAATCAATGAATCGATTAATGACTTTATAATCGATATTTAGAATTGAACATTGTGTTATTGTAATACTAACGGTCTCAATCAGCGGTTTCGCTCGAAGTACCTGGATAAAGAATATCCTGTGTATTATTCTAGACTATAATCTATCTCTGAGTCAATTTATACCAAAATCCATTCAGTAGTATTTGCGTGATAAAGTAACACACATCTTTGCATTCTACTTACAAACTTTCGCTTTTATAATATTAGTATGATTGTATATATTAATTATACAAAATTATATGCCTAAAGAAACATAAAATAGGTATAAAAGTTATTACAGATAGGTATGTATATATGTATAATACAGACTTCTATACAGACTTCGAACCGACTTAATATTCGGATTTTTCTTTACATATTTTCTATGTGACGCCAAAAAACATGGCTACGCAATACAATATTCTGTATAAAATATGTCTTGAAAAACATAAAAAAGAGTTAGTTTTTTAACAATCCGAAAAATAAGGTCAAGATAATAGCTATATACTACTATATTGTAAATAATAAGTACCTATTTGAAAAACTAATGATAGATATATTCGTGATATAACTTATAATATTTTGTAGATAATTATAATTATAAAATAGTTTTAGTTAACTTGTAAATTATAGATCTCTTTGTATAGATACCTAAGTATTCGTTTATTAATTTAGGTTTAAATAAAGATTACCTATGTAAGTTATTAATAAGAAATTATATTACCTAACTACCATTGTAATTTATTTCATCAATAAATATACATTTAAAAAAAATGTTTGTTGTATTTTTTTACCCTTTATTTTATAAAGATATTATTTTATAAATATTAATGGTTTTGTAATATTAATATCAAATAAATTTGACAAATTATATATTTTTTGTAAACGTAATATAAAAATATTGTGAACAAAAAATAATATATTTTAAAAGTAGTATAGACAATAGCTGTATGTTTTTGTTTTTATTCCAAATATATTATGATAGTGCATCGATCACTCAGAAAAACTAAACAAACCTCCACTGCAAATCTAAGGTAAACAAATTGAAGTATTTGTAAAAAAATCCCTTGATATCGTTTTTGCAAGTGCGAGAGATGTGTTATACACATCACGTTCCAAATTAAACAGTACTGGTACAACCACGAGCAAATAAGTGGAACAATTTAAAAAAATAGAAGCACATAAGAAAATCTTGATCATAATATCCAAAGCTTGATCAGGAGGGTACTTTCGACCGAGTTTGTCCATGGATATGTGAATTAACTTCGCTGAATGCCATAGAAGTGTAAGGAACATGACAAAACAGATGACATCTTTAAAAGTTGGTCCTTCATTGTGTATCATCGATTCAAACTTCTTTGTAATGCCCCAATTGTTTTCAGTAAAAAGTTCCATTGTTAGGTTTAACCTTTAAATAATATAAAAACCTTTAAAGAGAGGGGTTAGAAGAATTAAATAAAGATAAATTTGGGAGCCCTATTGCTAAAATTCCACTGTCTATCCGTCTTTTTGTCACCAGACTGTTACTTATGAACCGTAATAGTACCTGATAGGTAGTGGCAGTTAATACAACTGACGAATTTCTTATGCCACTAAACCAAAAAAATACTAATAATATACAAAAAATACAGACGTGATTTTAATATAAAACCCTTTTTAAACAAGTTCGAGACGCACTTGGTCTTTTTCAGCGTTTTCCTTGCAGTGATTTGAAGGTGGAAGGTGCTTCTAAAAGTCCTCAATATCAGGCGCCATATCTTCGACAATCATGCACACTGAGGTGGCCCCAGTTCCACAGGCTCGTTCCTGGAAACGGAGAAAACTAGTTTTAATTTACCTACTTATTGAAATCTGTTGTCGTGATGGCCCGGAGGGGTTCGAAACCTTTTAGTTATATGTACTTTCTATGATTATTTAGACACCACTGGCATACGGTGAAGGTAAACATCGTGCGGAAACCTGGACTTATAATTTCTAATTATGAGTTTGAAATTGCCAACCCTCATTGAGCAGGCGTGGTGATTAATGCTCTAACCTCCTCCGTTTGAGAAGAGGCATTTGCTCAGCAGTGGGCACTTATATGCCGATGATGATGATGAAAAAATCTATATGATTTCCTTCAGGATATATTGTTGACTGTTAAGACTTGTGGTATCTGTCGTAGCCAACTGGTTAAAATAGTCACTCAATCAATCAGCTTTTTTTTGCGAGTTGAAAATCATCAAATGACTTCTCCCGCCCAGGGTAAGGCGAGAGAGAGTGTCAGACTCTTACTGACTAAAACTTCCCGTTCATTCTCCTGCTTAAGGCCGAGGCCGCGGTGCCTTGTTGCGCTTACCCCGCAACCCCGGCTAAATATCAATATCATCTGTGGTGGTCTATTGGCTCTTTGAGGCGCGCGCGGAACGCTAAGCGCCGCACGCTCGGGTCTTGTTCTACGGTCATGGATCGTCTCTCGATCCTGGATGCCCGGAGTGTTGCCTACTGCGGCGGCTGGGGCGTAAGGAGGAGAATAGTTCCCTCAATCAATCAGCTAGTCCTTTGATCGTAAATCGCATCGCATACAATTTGTGTTGCTGTTTATTTCCGATGGCGATTAGATTTCCGAAGTTGAAGTTGAAGTTTACAGTTCTAACCTCACCTATCATTATGGTAGCAAATTTTGTTTAAAATCCCTTTTTTTACATTCCCTTTAACATACAGCCAGAATAAGTTTAGTCATTCAATCAAATTATTGGTGTTCAGGCCGTTGGTTGGATGGGTAATTCAACTATTTGCCTGCGACATATCCATTAACTTTCTTGAAAATATGTGCGTAACGGTATTACTAGGTATTACCCGAGACTTCTTACACATTTTTAAAGGAAAAATTATGCCTATAATCGAAATCCTGTCTTTACACCATACCATAAAATCCCTTTGGTAAGCACGTAGAAACAAAATAAACAAACATTTCCTACATTTAAGCAGTTCTTATGGTGTAGGTTTTATAAAATACTGATCCAAAATTTCCCTCGATGCAGCAGAAAAACATATTGTTTACAAACACAAAACATTATTATTATATTCCAATCAACTGAACCATTGCGTTCTTGGCTTCAAACACACAGATCACATCATATCATCAGCCTACAAATGCCCACTGCTGAGCAAAGTCCTCTTCTCACACAGAGAAGGTTTGAGCGTTAATCACTACGCTTGCTAAAGGCGGATTGGCGATATCAAACTTAAACTTCCTCACGATGTTTTCCTTCACCGTGTCTTCATGTCAGTGGCGTCTAGATTGCCTTCAAACAAACAACTAACTTAAAAAACGTTAAACAACAACAAAAAACAAAACACAACTTACTTGTAATTGTAACTATGAAAAAGTCTGTAAGTTAAAAATAACACTGCAACGCCAAATAATACGCCGAAAACTATGAGATTTGCAACCGATGTAGTATTTCTATCAAACTGATTCATGACGAAACAT